AACAAACCCGCGATCCTTGGTTTTTTTTTTTTTTTTTTCTCAGATTTCCCCAAAATCTAGAGGTCGAAGAACTGTGTATTGTTTTTTTTTTTTTTTTGTATCGGCCTTAGTTATCGCGTGCACTTTTACGCTTTTTTTCCGCTTTTTTTTTTTTTTTTAAACATCTGTATACTAAATTTGGACATGCCTGGAAGTGAGTGCGATTTTTTTTTTTTTTTTTTAAGTCATATCTACAATGCTAACTTCCCTTTCCTTATCCGCTGACCTTTGAAGCCTTGCAGAAATTTTTCTTGTGAGGCTCGCTTTCCTGTATCAGCACTTCCGGTTTTTTTTTTTTTTTTGTTCGTCGTGGTCTGAACATGAGGGCCGAGGGAATCCCGCAGTTGTTTTTTTTTTTTTTTTGCAGTTCGTGTGCCATTTCCAATACATTTTAACCTTAGGGTTAACTTTTTTTTTTTTTTTTCTTCTTTGGTTTATCGTCCTCTTTTACCCCATCCTATCTAACCAAGTTAGTTATTTGCGGTTTCCTTGAACTGGAAGTAATTTTTGGAGTCGTTAGAATGTCGCAAGTATCATCTTTCACCCAACTATTTTATGTCCAAGCGGCAGTGCAGTACTTCCTTAAACGTCTTTTTTTTTTTTTTTTAGTGGTTGGTTTGATAAGTGGAGGAGTTTGAAACGAGAGAGCAATTTTTTTTTTTTTTTTTTTAAGCCTAATGTATACGATTTCCAGAGCCTTAACTAGAGTGTAGTTTTTTTTTTTTTTTTGAAAAAGCTTGATTAGGGTGGAGTCAGTGGTAAAGTTTCCACAGCGCTGGAAATGGGAAAAAGAAACATTTATTATTACCCAAATTTCACTGAATCCTTCAAACCGCGAAACAAGTTTGGGAAAGAGTGAACTAAATCGGGTAACTAGAATGGACTACATATCACTTCTTTGTGTTCGGTTGAAAACTAATAGAAAACTACGTACCGACACGTATGTTTTCATTACTCTCGATTTCTCTCTTTGAAATCGAACCAGAGCGAGAGTACTGAAGTAAAATAGTTTGAAACATTTTTTTTTTTTTTTTTAACTCACGAAAAAAAAAAATGGAACCCTATATTGCTCTTGCGTATTTTTTTTTTTTTTTTCTTGACCGAGTACTTGACTTCACCCTTTGTCTTCGCATTTTTTGGTTTTTTTTTTTTTTTTGTGTTTTGACTGCAAATACGCCATTGGAATCATGCGTGTAGTTTTTTTTTTTTTTTTTTTTGATTGTTCTTTATGTTTTTGAAGCACATCATCCGTTGGTGATGTGTTTTTTTTTTTTTTTTCCTTCTTGGTGTAATTTACAAGAGCGTGGTTTTTTACAAAGTTTGTTTTTTTTTTTTTTTTTTAAGTTTAAGTCTGCATTTCCCAAATTAGCTTTGGCTGATTTCATTTTTTTTTTTTTTTTAATCCCACATTTTTAGTTTCCGATTTTTAGTTTAAGTTCACAGACTCTGCGCTGAGTTGGCGTTTAAACCAATCTTCAATAACGGCAGATTTTCAACTCTTGAAATTTTTTTTTTTTTTTTTTTTAGTCAGGCCACGTTTCACTCGAGCAAGGTTAAATAATAACCCTTTTTTTTTTTTTTTTTTTCTTTTGTCTTAACTACAGTATTTTACACTTATCATTTGTTCTTTTTTTTTTTTTTTTTGCGGCGAGTTAATATATACAAATAAATTAATCTTATTGTCGTCTTTTGTGTGGTTAAAGATTACGAAATTCTTTGACTACTTAACCGTGACTCTACACACGCAATTCATGGCTCGGCGAACGCAGCAGTTCGTAGACAACTGGCAAATGACACGAAAATCATTTATGATTCTTAATAAGTCCCCTTATTCTGTCAGTGGGTAGATTTCCGGAAAATATAATCTGCAGGCGTGTTTGTGAGTTTTACCATCAGAAAAGGAAGAATCAGGGATCATGTCTTAACTCACGATAATAATCAATGTGATCCGAATGGTGCTAGAGCTCCGGTAACCTAAAAGTGACACTCTCTAAGTTCGCGTTGCGCGCTCCCAGAGTAATACCGCCGACTTTTTCTCTTGGAACTAGCAAGTGTTTTCTATCTAGCTTTCTTCTCGAGTCTTTCTTGGATAATTCGGACACTGTAGAGACGCGAATCTTTGGGAGTTTTAAAGTTTCTTTTGGTTCCTTGCGCACGTCCTCTAAATCTACCCCAGAGCCTCTTAAACCCGTGGAGGTATTAAGCTCAGTTCGTATCTCCCCGAGGTTGCTGAACTCCTTTTTTTTTTTTTTTTTCTCTTCCTTTCTTTGCCTGTACAAGTTGTCGAGTTTGTCCAAGATTTTTTTTTTTTTTTTTCCCATGAGATCATCATAGGTCGCTCTGCGAGTTTTATAGCGTTCTTTTTTTTTTTTTTTTGAGTCCGCATTCGAACGCGAAGAAGGTTTTAGATGTGTCCTTCGTTTTTTTTTTTTTTTTTCCTCTTTTCTGTCGAGAAATCTGCCGTCTGTTCTTGTTCCCTTAGAGTTCGGTGCTTGTTTAGCAGGAACGTGCGAAGATACGTTATTTATTAGCACCTCTTTGTTGTGTTTTGTCGATTCCTTTGCAAAGAATAATTGATTGCGGAGACTATCGACCGGTTTGAGAGCCATGATGACCTTAAAGCGTCCAAACTTACTGTAGTTGTAGACCGCTTCTTCAGCGTAGATTTTTTTTTTTTTTTTGCGGCCATTGTGTTCAAACTTGCTCAGATTCTCTCCCTCACAGGGAAGTAAGGTTTGTTTGCCTTTTGCGATTGCCGAGTGAATCCTGGCAGCTTTAGGCGCGCCAGAATTCCTTGACACAGGAATGTCCCTCGACTTCTTCCCTTCCGCCCTCAAATATCTTAGCTTTTTTTTTTTTTTTTTCAAATATTCTTGGATTTTATGCCATCTTTTCTCTGATTGTGTGATTTTTTTTTTTTTTTTTGATCAAACTGCCTTAGGATATGCATAGTTACCCCGTCGCAACCTTTTTTTTTTTTTTTTTTAGTTGATTGGCTGGAGAAACCTTGTATCCTATTGTACGTGTATCGTTTTTTTTTTTTTTTTCCGTTCCGCAGTCATTGAACCTCTTCAGCATTATGGATCTCTCTATTTTTTTTTTTTTTTTAGCAACACATTATCTGAACAATTTGCCGTAGGGGTTTTGAAGCAATTTTTTTTTTTTTTTTCGAAGGAGTTTTCGACTTCGTTATTAAAAGTTTCTGATGGCTCAATTTTTTTTTTTTTTTTATGGGCACGAAAGTTTTTGTAGGCAGACATGGGGCAGACATCCAAACTCTTTAGGCTAAAAAGATTATAGCTCTTAGAATTGGAAACAGCGCAAGGAAATGGCGCGTTTTTTTTTTTTTTTTCACCGGAAGTTTTAAAATAAGCTCAGCGTCGTGATTTATCTTTTTTTTTTTTTTTTTTTTTTCATACATATTTTGAGTTGTATTTGGGCATTGGTCCATGGCGTGACGTCCAACGAGACCCCATTTGAACGCGTGTACATATCAGTTACCTAGATCGGAGCTTGGAAGGCTATACGATCTCCGCGGTTAGCCAGGCCCACTACGCGCTCCTCAAATTACGGACGTTGCGTAAATGCAATTACTAAACAAACACTGAAGCCTGTTCTCAGAAGAAACTCAATTACTGTGCGAAGAACCGTTTCTACGGGCGCGAGTTTACAGAGCTTATTACAGATTACTTTATTGACTAATCGACAGGAATTACTATAGAAACTAAAAGCGCATGGCTAGCGTCAATTCTAGAGCCGAGTTGGTCCCTAACAGAGCGTATTCTCCGACGAGCGACGATTTCATGATGGACTATGATCCAGAATTTTTTTTTTTTTTTTCTTTGAAGCCAAGACAGGATTCTTACGAGAACATGAACGGTCGACTTTTTTTTTTTTTTTTCAGCCATCATTACGAGGACCCAAGGAAACTAAAAGATGAAGTATTCCACAGGCAAGATAGGAGACCCCATCCTCCGAGTAGATCGGGTAACAAGCGGCCGAGAAGAAAGACAAACGAAGCTTACGAACCTGTATCTTACTCTCAAAAGCGGAGAAGAACGTTCACAGATGATGGCTCCGACGATGGCTACAACAAGGAAACGTGCACGAAACTGTTCAAAGTCCTGGCCTTTTTCGGTTTCTTATTCGCTCTGGGGGCTGCAGTTGTTGTTGTGATGCTTATGTTGGGGTTTTTTTTTTTTTTTTGTTGCGACGATTGCAAGAAAGAACTCGTGCCCAGCCAAAGCTCTGTTTTTTTTTTTTTTTTAACGGGACAGGATCTATGGAAAGTGATCAAGGAAATGAAGTCAAACTTGAGCGAATTGAATCGAGCTATCCGAACGAAAAACCAAATCATTTCACAGCTTCAGAGACGAGACGACGAACACGCTGGGAAGATTTTAGAGCTCGAAAAAAGAGCAGCTGAAGCATGTTCCTTCGTGAAGAACTATAAGCTTAATATCAGCAGCTTGGTTGGACCCAGAGGCCCGCCTGGTTTTTTTTTTTTTTTTGGCCCTTCGGGCAAGGATGGTATAGACGGCAGACCTGGAAAAACATTTTTTTTTTTTTTTTCTTTGTGTGATTACAGAGTTAAGAATGGAGTCCCATTCACAGCCGTTTTTTTTTTTTTTTTACAAAACGTTATCGTTACTGAGAACACTCAGGAAAGGATCATTGGCGTTACTTGTTCCACCGTAGGAACTACGGAGTACAACTTAAAAAGTTATTTCAACGGTAATCAGAGGCAATACCAGTGTATGTGTCGTGGACAATCGTCTGTGTTTCGTTCGCGTGCAGGAATTTTTTTTTTTTTTTTGCATTATTGGGTCTGTCCTCTCATTTTCTAGCTTTTCCCTATTTCTTTTTTTTTTTTTTTTATAGCCCATCCCACTTTTAATTTGCCCAAACTGACGTACGTAAAGTTTTTTTTTTTTTTTTATTAACATAAAATTTTGACTGCAATCGTTTTTCTGTGATGACAATTTTTTTTTTTTTTTTTATCAAAACTCATACTGGGAATGTACATGATGAAAATTTGCCAGGAGTGTAATTTTAACTGTATATTGACTCTGTTTTCAAATTAAGTTAATTCCTGTTTTACTGTACATATCTTCTTTGTAATTCACTGTGAATATTTAAACTTGCGTCAACCGCAAAGAATGTCAACAGTCCATTGTCAAAGTCATCCAGAACAAGATAATTTTTTTCCAGAGGAATCTAAAAAATTTTTTTTTTTTTTTTTTCTGGCTCTCATGTTTTGGCTAGATTTCCGAATAACCCCATACTTCATTATGCATACAATTCTGGGATGAAAGAAAGCATAGGCAAAACAACAGTTTACCTTTGAGATTACGGCTTTGTTTTTTAATGGTATGAGGTTATATGGAAATCTTTATTTTGAGACTACGATCAAGTCATTGATTTAATCTTCGGTAGTTTCCGAACTGTTTACAACCATTGCATTGCAATGACTTAGTATTTGCGGTTTGCATTATACCATGTGTCATTGAATTGATTTGCATTGTAGATTGAATTGTTGCGTAAAAGTGTTGTTAATGATACGTACGTGGGAACTGATATCCTAGAAACTTAATTTTTTTTTTTTTTTTGGTTATAATGTCACTACCTTGTAAACTTATGAAAGTATAAATTTGTTTTTTTTTTTTTTTTAAATATATAAAAGTAAATGAATAAATGGCACGAAAACGTTGAGATTTTTTTTTTTTTTTTTAATCAGTTTTACACAATTACAAAGCTTTAAAGTTCTGAACGTGCATTTTTTTTTTTTTTTTAGTATTGTGAGATCCAATTTCTTTTAGCTGTTCACTTCAATCAATTTTTTTTTTTTTTTTTCTCTGAAATTTTGCACCTCACCCGCGATTTTCATTCAGTTATGAGTGTGCTGAAATTCTTTCGGATATGTGCCAAGTTTGAGTTTAATTTTTCGGGCCGGATTAATATTTGTTCTGTGTGCTTTGACACAGCAAATTCTCCTTGAAAACGTTTCCTGAGCATTTTCAATGTATTCTCAGCGATAAAGAGGAACTTTCCGGTCTATAATTTTTCCTTTTGTGAAGAAAGTAAAACAAGAAAACACACAACAACCGCAAACTCAATCTCTCTGTACACTTTAATAAGCTCTTATTATTATTATTTTCCATCTTAGACCGCATATCAATTGCCTTGCGAAAGTTAAAGTTACCCTTCCTTCTACGGATAACCTTGTGAAAGTGCTTGCTGAAGATGAGCCCCGACGTATCATGTTTTTTTTTTTTTTTTTAACACACAACATAATTTAACTAACAGGCTTATTATTGACAATGTATTTTTTTTTTTTTTTTTGTTTTTAAAATAAGACTCCGGCTTCCGGCCTTCAACTAATGACTTTATCAAATCATATGGTCTAATCAGGGTACCATGAAGATGTATACAAAATCTATATAGCTGTGTTATAGATGAATATCTTGATTAAATAGGGTGACGTTGAATCAAATGATAATTTGCCAACGATTATTCTTACGATCATCATTTTATGGTCAGGGTCAGTCAGAGGCGTGTTTCACTACTCTTTTTTTTTTTTTTTTTGAGGGGAAGACAATCTCGATGGGTTCGGTTGTTTTGTGTACACCAGTGTAAATTATTTTAACAACGTCATTACTTTATATATAACATGCAGCTAAAATTTCATATATAAAAACACTATATTCATCCATGGTGGTCTTAAACGTAAGCGGTGGAAAAGCGCGATTTCCTTTTTTTTTTTTTTTTGGGGTTGGCGATGACTGACTGACACATGTCGGTATATGTTATTTGTTTTTTTTTTTTTTTTAGTTTGCTAACGATTGAAACATAAAGGGAAAATCTACACTTCGCGTTTTTTTTTTTTTTTTTTCAGTTGGCATTATTTCACAGACAAGTACTTCAAAGAACGAAAGTTTTTTTTTTTTTTTTTGGCCTTTACGGGCGTGACGGAATGTTTGACTCAGAGAGTTGCGAGATGACAAACTCATCGTGATTAGTTTGGATTTTCAAACTCTTGCTGTCATGTGGGGCAGCTTTTTTTTTTTTTTTTTTTGATTATTTTGGCTTGGTGGGATTTTCAGTCTCACGTTCTTGCATTTTTTTTTTTTTTTTTCTATGTTTACCGTCACTTTTTTTTTTTATCAATTTCGGAAATGTTTTTTTTTTTTTTTTTTCACTGATTGCATCCCAATTCACTGACTCACTCAAAAATTCATTATTTTTTTTTTTTTTTTCTGTCATATCACGGTTCGAAGCTTTCTTTTACAGTCATAAATGCATTTTTTTTTTTTTTTTAGGAATGTGGCGAACGAACAACTTCTCGTGTACTACAAGCCAAATTCCAAGAAATCATGGCTAAGCTCCATCCCTCGCGTTTCGGTTGCATAAGAGAAACTTACTGTTTTTTTTTTTTTTTTTAAATTGCTTGGATTTTCCAGGCAATGCAGCTTGAAAAATTATTATTTTTTTTTTTTTTTTTAAGATTCTCTTTTGTTCGATTCCCGATTACTATTTATGTTCGACGGAACGATTTTCTCCGGCGACAAACTGAAGAAAAAAGAAATCCCATGAGCATTTAAAGCCTAACCATTCGCTAGAATTAAATTTTGTGCGTCAGAAATAATCGTCTGGTCATGATCATGGCTTGGAACAGCACATGTGAAAGCAAAAACTTCCGTTCAGTCACAAGTTAAGTGTTATTTGTATTTTTTTTTTTTTTTTTAGTGTTCTTTCGTTTATTTCATATTTCCCTAATGGAACATTCTGTTTTTTTTTTTTTTTTTCGCGACAGCTGGCGGGTCTAACCGGAAGCTCTTAATGAAATTCTATTTTTTTTTTTTTTTTTTTGACATCTTCACTCATCGATTTCATTCTGGAAAATACGAACATTAGACAGTTCACTTCACACTCCACGCTGAGAGAATTTATTTTAATGCGTACCTTGAGATTAAGAAATAAATGAACTTGAAATCCCGGAGTCTATTCGATCAAGGAAAACAGCTCTTGTTCTCTTCTTGTTCTCTATGATTGGATATCGGCATCGTTTCGTCTTTGTTCACTATTCCATTTTCTCAATCGTATCATGCATTACAAGAGTAAAACAAGATGGTCAAGATGAGGAAGGGGCATGATACGGTAGTACAGTAGTTGTCCTGCATTAGACGACGTGGAACAGAAGTTTACTTAATTGATTTTTTTTTTTTTTTTTTTCGCGAACTCGCTAGCACTGAACTACGCCACGCTACACAGAGTCAGTTGTGCGTGAGCCGGAACCAGTGCAGCGGAGGAGCGTGGGCGGGCTCTGACCAAGGGAAGAGAAAGAGCAAGCAAGCCACTCATCTCCACCCACTCCACCATCGCTCTTTACGGCTAGGATTGGACTAGCCATCCAACTGCAATTCCACGAGTGAAGGCTCTCCTCTCCCCCTTTTGCTAGGATGCTAGGATGACTAGA